CTCCATCTTTGGCTCCTCCAACATTTGGATTGACCACGTTTCCATGGAAAAGTGCGCAGATGGGCTCATAGACGCCATCATGGGTTCCACAGCTATCACCATCTCCAACTCCCACTTCACTCACCACAATGACGTACGTACTGTACTTCATTTATTTATTAAGCTCAACCAACTAAATGCAGAGGTTTGGAATCCATTATAATAATGTCACATGCATGTATGGATGCAGGTGATGTTGTTCGGTGCCAGCAACAGCTACACTCAAGACAAGATCATGCAAATCACGGTGGCCTTCAACCACTTCGGCCAGGGATTGGTGCAGAGGATGCCAAGGTGCCGGCACGGATTCTTCCACGTGGTGAACAACGACTACACCCACTGGCTCATGTATGCCATTGGTGGCAGCATGAACCCTACCATCATCAGCCAGGGTAACAGGTTCATTGCTGGTTTAAACGCAGCCGCCAAAGAGGTAATTTTTCTTGTATAATATTTGATTCAAATAGCAACGAGATTATATATATGTGCCATTGTTGAATTCCGAATTCCAAATTATATAGGTGACCAAGAGGGACAACACACCAGAGGCAGAGTGGAAGAAATGGGAATGGAGATCAGAGGGAGACTTGATGATGAATGGAGCAATCTTCGTTGAATCTGGATCCGGAGCGAGCAATCACCCAGCAAGGATGGATTTGATGCCCTTCAAGCCGGGAACCTATGTCCCAAAGCTCACAAAGTTTTCCGGTGCTCTTGAATGCTTTGTTGGCAAACCTTGCTAGGCATTTCCCCCCTTTTTTTCTGCCTGCATAGGAAAGTCTCACCATGGACTCGTTTTTTAGTTTGCAAACACAAATAGTACAAAACGGCCCAATCCATATGTATTTGTGCATGAGGGTATAGAGGAAGATTACTTAGGCCGTGTGTGCGTGAGGGAGGAAATCAAATGTTGCCAATGTTTGCTGTCCTTGTTACATTACATGTCCCTATTTTTCTCAATTACTTTCTCTCTTTTTTTCCGGTTGTTTGGGAAAAATGGATTTAAAGAAGACAAAAAAACAGAAGAAGGGACGAAGGTTTAATAATGATGCAAAACAAAAAGGGAGAGGATGCAAATGTGTATGTCCTCTCTATTGCACTGGAGTACAAACCATCTTTTCAAAATAAAGGAAAAGGAAAAAGAGGATTGATTAGGAAGTGTTAACACTTAATGAAGATCAAGAATGATGAATTAATCTTTAAGTGTCAAGTAATTAACATGAGTCTTGAAGCATCAGAAGGTTCGATCCCATGTATATAGGGATTAACGTGGTGCATGGAAAGCAACTCCACACATTTTAATCACCTACAAATCTACCAATAGGAAATGGACACGTTTGCCATTCATACAAGTGGACATATCAAACATATTCAAGTCTTATATTGGACGGAGAAACCGAAGGTAAAAGCACAACAACACAAAAGTTTGCACATCATCTGTTGTCGTATAGCCACACAAACGACAGGTTTGGTAATGCAACTCCTTATCCCAGAAAACAAAACTTTAGGCATTTGGGATATTATTTCATCTCGTACAAGCCAAAATCACCTTGTCTTGTGTGCTGCTTGTCCACTATGATCCGCCAAAATTATCAGTATTTTTTTGTTCCCCTTTTTTTTTTTTTTTTGGGAATTAAAGAAAAAAAAAAGATTTGGGATTTAAGAAAAACAACCAATAAAGGATTTAACATCAATTAATATATATTTTGTCACACAAATCGAATTTGACATGGTCAGCCTTAGCTTCTTCTCTTGAATGGCTTGAATGTTTTAATATGTCAAATTAATTTGTGTGCCTAGATTATGACGAAGAGTTACCAATGAAATTAATCTTCTATCCGAAAAAATAAAGACGGTGAAAGTGTCAATTCTGCCTAAACCAGTACATGGATGATGGAGGGAAAGAAAGAATTTTAGTGATGCTCTAATCAGACCCTGAAGTCGGCCAGAGTTCCTGCTAGCATGCAGGCACTCATATTTGTCTCAAATGGCACCGAACTCATCGAAACTCAGAAACAAACTAAGCATAAAACAAGTAATGGAACATGTATATAAGCACTTGCATTCAGTTTTCCAACAGCAAACCACTTGAAACCAATTGTCTTTTGTTGTTTGCTATTGACACAGGAAAAGATAGAGATATGGATCATCTGACTAGTGTAAAATCTGAACTGAGCCAAGGAAAGCGTCCATTGTGCATTATAGAAGTTGATACTTTGGTTAACAAGTGTGTCAAGAGACGGCGCAGAGATTCGTCTGCTGTTGTTGCACCTGCAGGCTGCAGTGATCAACAGCAAGGTGATCAAAGACCACAACAGCAGGCGCAGCAGGCTGGTCAATCTACCGTTGCTACGACTACAACTGTGAAGAGAAGTTCCAGATTTCGAGGAGTCAGCAGGTCTGATATCTTGTGTTCATGTGGACAATTTGCTTATTTTTTGGTTTTGTTAAAATGATTAAGCTTAATTTTGAGAATTATATATGCAGGCATCGATGGACAGGAAGATATGAAGCTCATTTATGGGATAAAGGGTCTTGGAACCCAACACAAAGGAAGAAGGGAAAGCAAGGTAATAAACATATAAATCACTTGTTCCATTTGTACACTTTTTTCACTTTTCTTAATCTTGTGTATCACTTACATGGTCTTCTTTTTCTTTCTGGTTCTGCATTCGATTTGATTAATTACTTGGATGGAGCAGTTTATCTTGGTAAGTAGTTGCATGACAGATTAAAACCACTTAATTCGGTCTCATTTTAGAGAGAAGCTAACATTTTTTTCTAAAAAATCCAACAGGGGCTTATGATGAAGAAGAATCTGCTGCAAGAGCTTATGATTTGGCAGCACTAAAGTACTGGGGAACATCAACTTTTACCAATTTTCCGGTATGATTATCAGACATGATGACTTGAAAGTTCTGTGCTTTTCAGAGGAATCAATGAAACTGATCAATATCTTCTAAAACTTGTTCTATATTTTACTTTTTAGGTGCCTGATTATGAGAATGAAATTGAGATAATGAACACATTATCCAAGGAAGAATATTTAGCCTCTCTGAGAAGGTAAATTTCATCTCCTGATGAGCCCTCCTCTTCAAAACTTTTCTGTAAAAAGTTCGCGTCCATGATCCCATTTTGTTTTGTTTATAGAAGGAGCAGTGGCTTTTCAAGAGGTGTATCCAAATACAGAGGAGTTGCAAGGTAAACAACTTAAATATTTGACCTTTACAAGTTTAAACAATTCATTCCAATTTCTAAGGCTAAACTGGTGTGGAAATTGCAGGCACCATCACAATGGGAGATGGGAAGCAAGAATAGGGAGAGTGTTTGGAAACAAGTACCTCTACCTTGGCACTTACGGTGAGTTTCAATTCAAGCTCTTTAAGTCTGTTTGCTCCTTCTGCTGCTGAGTGAGAAAAACCTTACAAGGCTTCTTTCATTTCATCACAGCCACCCAGGAAGAGGCTGCTCATGCATATGATATTGCAGCAATAGAATACAGAGGCATAAATGCAGTGACCAACTTTGACTTGAGCACATACATCAGATGGCTGAGACCAGGAGCCAATTCTCTTGCTTCTCAGGAACCAAAACTAAGCACAGAGTCTCTGCCCATGCCAGCCTCCTCTAACAGCATCCCAAGCAAGGAAGGAAAGCAGATGTCCATGTTCCAACCCAACTCTTTCCCAGTAGATGACATAGACACCTCAAGAAATCGCGACATTTTCCAAAGGCAGCAGAAGCAGCCTATGCCCATCAGCCCTTGCACCAAGTCATCATCTTCCCCAACAGCACTTGGCCTCCTCCTTCAATCCTCAGTATTCAAAGAGCTGGTGGAAAAGAATTTAAATGGAGATAATGAAGAAGGTGAGAAGAATGACATAAGGAACCTTCTTCCAGTGCAGACAAACAGTGACAATCTTAAGAGGATCTTGTACAATGGAATGCACAATAACCCTTTTACATGTCCTTCCAACGCCAGTGTTTTGCCTGCTTTAATGTCGCAGGAGGAGAGCATATTGCCCTTGTGTAATTCGAGGGGGCAGTCAATTTGGAATGGTGCCATAAACATGTTTTCTTCCCCTGACTTTTAACTAAATTAACTTTAGTTTAGTTTAATTACTTGTAAGCTCCAGCTAGATCCTTCTGTTTTCTCTTCTTCTTCTTCTTCTGACCGTTGCAGTTTGATGTAAATAAATCCCAAGATTTCCAAGTGATGCAGAGGCAATTGGAATAATAAAAAATAAGAAATAAAGGGATTAGTTCATTAGTGGTTACATTTAATCTTATGTATGACAAAAGTAAGACCAGCCAGTTGGGTTGGGGTAAATATACGACTTCAAATCTCTTTTTCATTTTCCTTTTTCCTGGTGAGAATGGCAAAAGAGCTTGTGCCCTAGAAAACAAATATAATCGCATACCCTTTCATAAAGAGAAAAAGATTTGATTCTACGGGTTCTAGTTTACTCCATGGATCACCTCTATGGGACAAAGCTTCCTTCTTCCCCTGTCGTCTGTAGGTTTCAACTTCACACTTTTTATATACATGTATGAGAACTTGTGGCTATTTACGGCCTTCTAACACTTAGTCTGCCATTCCAAAGTGGGTTGGAGATTTTTTGAGTTGAATGACTGGAAAGACTTCAGATGACAGAAACTAGAGATTTTGAAGAAAATGGGTTACCAAGATTAAATAATAGATTTTTATTCAAACAGAAACTTAAAAATTGATCTTTTCAACAAAGATTAAAAGTCGTATTTTTTGTGAAGTATCATCGGATGTTAGAACTCTAGCTCCATATTTGTGAGGGGAGAACTTATTCGGAATCTTTCATATTTGTAACCACTTTGCTTGTTATCGGAGGAAGAAACATAAAAAATAAATAAAAAACAAACAATGTGATTTCAATTATTTCAAAAGATTGATGTCAATACCCCTTTTGTTTGACATTATAAGGGCACGTCTCACACAATTACGCCCACAAAATAAACTAAACATGCTATAAGCTCCACAGTAATATTTACTTCATCTCCATAATCAGAATCTTGGGCAAAATAAAAACCACGGAGAAATACATGAAATGAAAAACAACTGGGCAGTTACTGTGAGATTGTGTACATCAAACTTGGAACAACCAAACCAATTAAAGCTAAGCCATCTCATACGTATACCTACATAAAATAACAGTGTACGGCCAGCCATGCAGCCATCATCTTCTTTAGAATATTGCAATCAACACTTGGTTGAGACCGACCTGCAAAAACAACTGGGTTAAGTACAGAGGCAGGGCAGTTCCCGAATTAAGACCTAAGTTAATTTGTAACTGCCACCAAGTCAGTTCATAGTGCCAAATGCAGCTATCTGGCACACAGATATGACAAGCCAAAAGAAAAAAAGCAAAGTAAAAAAGTAAAAAGAGGCATGACATAAATGGGAACCTCAGCAGAAGGCATCAGATATGCACACAAGCAGATTGGCTCCATTACAATGTTCAAGAATGATGTAAATACTAGATAAAAGAGTTCTTATTCAAACCTCAGCAGGTTTCTCGGTTTCATTCCTGGACCTTCAATATCGTCTTGCAGAATAGCATCAGTTGACTTATTCAAAGTTCCAGACAAAGACTCCGCAATTTCTTTTAGACCCTGCAAGAAAGTGGCATGCCTTACATTTATTTTTTGGATACACGCGAGAGTCTAAACTACTCTAAATTTATCCAATCTAGGAGAGGGGGGGGGGGG